TGCGTTATAAAAGCGGCTTTATTTATGTATGGACTGTAGGTGAAGACAATGCAAGCACTCGAGAAGTTTAAAGCTGCGTTTTCCTAGGCAGCGAGTGACGTGATTAAGGAGGGCGATTTGCGCTCTGAGGTCTACGAGTCATAAATCATTGCTCCAAAGAATTTGATAGGAGGGTTCTTGCAAGTTAGGATAATGTCATGCTCTTCGGTCATTATGAAGCGAATCTCAGCATTGACTTCCGCAACTAACTTTTACACTATAGAGAATATAACAGGGTGGGGTCTCTGAAAATGTCTCTGCACACATGAGGATCGAATACATTAACAAGGAAGGGTGGCAACCTTAGAGATCCTACGCGAAGTGCGACAACTGTGCAAATGTATTCACTGGAAAAAAAGCTCCAGTTATTAAAGCCGGAATTATGGTTTATTTGGCATACCGTCCGTTCCGATTTCAGAGACCGAAAGTTCCGTATGCTGTAGCCGTAATTTTGACTGCTCCGCGGGTCCAATGCCCGGAGCAACAGCTGTTACATCCGGAACTTTGGGTATCTGAGGCCGTGAAGAACAGTATGTCTTTACAGTCCGTAGTTACGGCTTTCGCAGCCAGATCTTTTTTTTTTTTCGTGTTTGCTCCAAATCTGAGAAAGGAAATTTTGACTGAAAGTATAGGACTCATGACCCAGGGGGTCCCTTCACTTCAGTGGGTCAATTGCGCTGGGCACAGACTCGTGTTTTGGTGCTTGATTTTTGTACAATAGCTAAGAATAATAAGACCTGTCTAAACGACAACTTTCTACGTTTAATATTGAATGAGATATCGCGCTTTGAAAAACTCAGTTCATGACGTCATCCATCGGGTTAGTGACACCCTTGATTTCTTCCACCTTGCTTTCATCAATCAGTGGGACACACCTTTAAACTGGTTACTCAACGTACTGGAAGCAAGGTGGAAGAAACCAAATGGGTGTCCCTACCGCGGTGGAACGACAAAAACCGAATTTGTCCAAGCGCGATACCTCGGTTAATATTGAAAAAATAAATACTGTTTGGGTGGATCTCACTGTTTTTAGTTAATCTACAAGAATCAAGCATCAAACACGATTCTGTGACCAGCGCGCGACTGCGACCCATTTTGAAAGCTTTCTTTGAGCTTGGGAGTTGGTCTCAGAAAAAACCAGTGGCACCACGGTATTTCTGGCGAAATGACTTAAAGCGCATGTAATTCGCAAATCCCTACGGCATACACTGCCGTGCTAAGGAAGAGCGCCGTATGAACATTCGAGAGTTTCCAAATTTCCTTCGATAAAATGTTCATTTCCGAGGAAACCTATGAAGATTTTCCCATGAAATTTTCAGGACTTTGCGAGCAAAATTACCGAAGGAATTGGGAGAAATATACTCTTAAGTTGACCAAGAAATTCGTGTTTTATCAAGGGAAATTTGGCAAAGCCTGAAGGTTCATACGGCGCTCTTCCTTAGCACGGCAGCATTGGCAACTTGGTGTCGGGCAGTGGCGAGGCGTGATTTGCGATAAATCGATTGATCTGCCATTTAATCCTATGGAAAAGGATCGATAAACAGGGTGTTCGCAGCGAACACCTTAATGCTCGATTTTTTACCATAGCCTCAAAGGGGGGAATATCGATATATCGCAAAGCACGCCACGCCACTAGTGTCGGGCGCTCGCGGAGTCGGAGCTTTAAGCAAGTTCCATTGACTGTCCGTGCTGCTGCGTGGAGGAGAGGAGAAAGGGGTGGGGGCGCAAATGGAAGGTGAAGCGCGCGAAGCCGGCAGGAAGCGGCGAATTTATCAAAGGTCAAGCATTTATTTCCGGCTCATCGCTCCGGCGACGCGACGCTACGTTCGCAACTTGTGTCGTCGTGGGCCGTCGACGACCATGCAACGACTGACCGTAAATTCGCCGGCGCTCGCCGTCAAACCTCCCCGGAAACCCACTCCCCAGCAAAAGGAACGTTTCGGGTGACACGATCGACCTGGCAACGCCGTTGGTCGCGTGCCAGCCGAGCCACGTCACGCCGTGCGAAAATTTCGCCGCTCCCGCACTTTTTCGCGCCCCAACGTTGCGCCATTCGAGGACCCAGAGGAGCGTTCGCTTTCGATGGGGAGAGCGCTGCCATGCTAATATTACGTCATCAACCAGCGTCCCGATGACGTTTTCAGACAAAATTAGCCGGAACTGGCAAAAAGTATCCAGAAATAGTCGAAAATACCCAAATTAATTCTGGGAGCAACAGACGGTTGAAGCCGTCATCGGTGAGCGAAAATAGTAGCTACGGAAGGAAAACATCTCCTAAAAATGTCTCTAAATTGTTCGTATGGGGGTTGAACTAGATAGTTAAGTGAGATTTTCTGTCGATGCACCGAGTGTCGGTTGAGGTAAGCACAGTTCATGCCAGTCATACTGAGGACTTGTATTCTAAATCAAATTATTTTCTATCTCTTTTTATTTTTTCTCGTATTTTCATTTTTTTTTTCTCTTTGCGGTTATATCGGAACCGAGAATCGGTTACCACGATTAAGATCAATGGGTGTCCCTCATGATCCGAAATGTGTCTGTCCGTTTTGTCCGGAGATTCCGGAATCTGACGATGAAGTCTGCGATTTTGTACATCGTTCGGGACTGCAAATGTTCCGAAAGGGGACAAAAGGAGAAATATTGAGAGTGAAATTTTGAAGAGCCCGAAAAATGAAGCAAAAATTGAAATTTTATCACAGTAGACCGATGTACATGTAACCCTTCGGGGAAGGAAGGACCATAGCCGCAAATTCTCAGCATTATATTTTTGTTAGCAGAGCAATGAGAAGTCTCGTCAAAACAAGGCGAGGCAAAAAATACTCATAAATGTCAAACCAAATCGAAGGTCAAAGGATAAAAGAAAGAGGGCAAACATTGCAAATTATTGTATGCCCTCTGGCGGCACGAAAATAACGCCTTCATCTTGAAAAGATACCTAGCGTGGCAGCGGAGGTCAAATAGTTGTATCATTCTGAAACCCAATCAACACTGCAGTAGCTTACATTAGTGAGTAATGCCAAACGGAACTATGTGCATTATATGACGTGAGCCCTGATATGCATATATTTTTATGGGTCTCGGAGCTCATGTCTTAATGCACATGGTTTCGTTTGACAGAAATATGTTCATTTCTTGTGATGGCGCATAAGAAACGCTTCTATTATTGTCAAAAAATACTTTGTAGTAATTATTTTGTCACAGTGCAAGTTTCTGTACAGCGAACTATTACACTATCCATAGCTTTGGTTCAAGTGCATTTTTCCCTCCCTCTGATGTTTTAAGCATAATAATAATGATTCGCTGAATTTTTGGTCTAGGCACTTACTCTGCTTTTTTCTTTTCGAATCGGATATTTTGTAACCCTTGCACCACCAAAATCTCTGCACTCTGGTGCTTTACTTGTTGAACTTTGTTGAATAAAAAAAATAATGGTTTCAAACCACCTGTAAGGCATGAAGCATGCATAATTTTCTGCTCAGAATTGCCTTAAAATTGCTGTATTTCGAACTGGAAATTTTCCAAAATTCCAAAACTCTCGCCCCCCCTTCCTTCTGAAAGAGTCGATCCCCCTGTGAACAAAATGAGCCTAATGGCAAATTTGCTCCAAGTATAAAAATCCCCTGCAACGGCACAGTGGCGAAACCTGATAGTAGAGTAGGTATTTCGAGTAAGAATAACCATGCAACTGCAAACCCGCAAATCTTCAATGTTTTCTCTTAATATCTGCTCATGAAATAAGTACACGCTCTAGGGTCAAGGTTACTTGAGTGTCTTCTCATTACACGGCACATGATTAGCATTCAAATCAATGCTGAATTTTATCAACGGATTTATTCTTTTTCTGTGGATATTATTACTCTTCCTGGACTTCCCTGTAGCTCGCATAATGCGACAGTCAGCCACTGACTTGGTGATCGCGATATCTTCTTTTATTTAGATCTGTCGTCAAGTATTGCATCGAAGCAATTATTTTAATAATTATCAAGATGCAATGAATCCATCTCTGTCTTCCCCTGCTACTTTTCATTCTTGCCCTTAATGTGCTCTGCATTCATCACGGTAACACACAATGCTTCACCTCAAATTGGCCCTCTGGCCAAGCAGTGAGATCCCTAATGCGAGGGTTGGATTGAAATAGAAATAAGGGATGTTTTGCAAAAGTTAACCAATAAAAAAAAGGAAAAAGGGGTGTGCTCGCACTTTTCCCTTTTTTTAAAAGAAACATATTCATAAAACATAAAACTCATGCACTGAAGAAACAACAATTCGTCCAAGTCATAGGAAAATACGAATCTGAGTGTAGTCTCATAAACTTTTGATTACCAGTGCAGACAGTATATAGGCAGATCCTGGGGTGGGGCGAAGGGGGAATATCCCCCTTCGTCCGAAATAAAAGGAGAAAGAGCAAGAGAAGAATGAAAGAAAGAAGTAACGGAGGAAAGAAAGGGGTAGGACGCTTAAATTATTCTTGACAAAATCGACTCAAATCGCATATTAGATGCTTTTAAATTTGGAAAATTTTCTAGGGGACCCCGCAGCCCACGGACCCCCATTTCGCCCTCCTCCCCCCTCCTACCTCGAAGTATCTGGATCGCCTATAAGACAGTAGGTCGGTATGTCCAGAAAGTTGAATAGCCCATATTTTAGGAATTTTGTTCTTTGCACTGAAAAAAAACTCCGGCCTTGGGAGCCGCAATTGCGGGCTATGACGATTCCAGGCTCAAAGGCCGAAAATTCCGGCTGCTGGAGGCGTAGCTTCGATTGCTCCGGGTTCAGAGGCCGAAGCTACGGCTCCAGCAGCAGGAATTTTCGGCCTTTGAGCCCGGAACGGACGGTATGTCTATACAGCCCGTAATTGTGGCTCCTACGGCCGGAGTTTTTTTTTTTTTCAGTGTGGGCTTATCTTCCAAGCGTGCTTGAGTGACTGTCCAAAAATCTGATGTTGCCGGTGGTTTCTGTTTCAGGAGGTCGATGAGCTCAGAGCAGTGCAGTTTGGGCTCGATTCTTCCGCCGAACTACCGTCACCGTGCGGAGGCCTTCGCCCGGGACCTCCAGCAGCGGCTGTGGAGCCTCGGAGGCGGCCGGTCCTCCAGCGACGACCGCCTCACCAAGCGCGCCCACAACCTTGCCCTAGACGCCGCCCACTCGGCCGCCGGGCAGCCCTTCGAGCCATGTCCCCCGTACGCCGCTTTCGAGGAGGACTCCTCCCCCCGCAGCCCCACCCTAGAGCCGGGCACCGACCCCCTCGCTCAGCTGGTCAACCGCTCCGATGGCCTCCCCATCCCCCAGAGCGCCGAGGAGGGCTCTCCTCGATGCAGCTTTTCCGCAGACTCCCAACAGAGCATCTACTCCACGCCCTCAGACAACTTCAGTCTACCAGCATCCAGCATTCCCTATCGAGATAACCCCAGCCCCGAACCACCCGTTCAACACACCCCGGTCGATACCTGCGACCTATTTCGGGATCTCTACAATTCCCTCGATCACACGAACCAAGAAAGAAGCGCCAAAGATCCTTCACACCAGACGGAGCTCCCCACTCAAGCCATCCACCTACAAGCTTCGCTAACAAATGGAGTCGTCGATCGTGAAAGCGACAGTGTGAACAGTCTAGCTAATAGTTTTAATAAAATTAGTTTAAACGGGGGTATCTCGGACGAGTGCCATTGTGAGAATAGTGCGATAAGTAGGTTTGAAATTTTAGAAAATAGCGATCGTAACGCCAACGATTTGGTGAAGAATCGAAACGAGCCCGGGAAACCGAGACTCGACAGCGGGAGCAGCGTCGACACGATAAGCAATGATAGTTTGAACGTGTGTGAAAGTGAGATGCCGCTCAGCCCCGACAGCCTGAACAGCCTGGACAGTTTGAGCACGCTGCACAGCCCGGACAGCCTGAACAGCCTGAACAGCTTCGACGCCTTGAAGGAAACCGAGCGGACGGTTAGCGAAGAGAATGGCTGTAAGTGTGAGGTGGAAGAGGAGTCGAAAGAGGAAAGACTGAGCGCTCCCAGCGAGTGCGAGCGAACGAAGCTGCGCCGCAGCTCGTCGCTGAAGACGTGGAAGACGCCGCCGGACACACCCGGACACAAGAAGATCGTCCGCTTCGCCGACGTGCTCGGCCTGGACCTGGCCGACGTCCGCACCTTCATGGACGAGATCCCGCAGATCCCGCGCTCGGCCTACTCCGACCTGAGCGGCATCGACGCGGACCTCTTCACGAGCACGACGTCGCCGAGCGTGGAGAGCACGTCGGTGCCGACGCCCAAGTACCTAGTTCCTCTCTTCCAGCAGCCGGGCGGGATGTTGGACTTCTTCGACAAGCTGAGCCTCCGCAACGTCTGCCTGGAGAACGCCGTCGTGACCGACCCGGCCCTCCTGGCCGTCGCCGGCACCATCCGCGTCCGCAACGTCGACTTCGACAAGAGCGTCTTCGTCCGCTACTCCCTCGACGGGTGGCGCTCCTTCGCCGATCTCAAGGCCATGTACGTCGTCAACTCCTGCGACGGCTACTCGGATCAGTTCTCCTTCGTCCTCTACGCGCACACCCTCGAGATCGGCGATCGCCTCGAGTTCGCCGTCCTCTTCCAGACGAAGGGCGACCAGTACTGGGACAACAACGGCGGCATCAACTACATCTTCCAGTGCGTCCCGCCGCCGCCCGCCGTGGCTGCTACCATGGCCAACATCGGCACCCCGAACATGGGTGAGAAATATGGCGGTTTCTATTGAGCCACCTCAAAGTAGAATGTTGTAGTAACACCTTGGTTGTTTGAAAAATGTGCCAAGAATCTCAAAAAGTTAACTTGACAACTTAAGGACATTGAGTTTGACGTATATATGCTAGAGACAATCATGTATAAATTAATCAAACTTTATAAAACTCGATGGCTAAAGTGTGACACCACGTGTCTCCATTGCGGTGTTTCAATGTCTTCGCTCCGAGTTTATTTTTTCAAAGGGAACAAGTCAACTTTATCTCTTAAAATGTATTCAGAATTTTATACCAACCTAAAAGAAAACTCGAGAAAGTTTCTAAGATAATACGTTAACTACTTTCCCTGGGAAAAAATAAAGTACGACCGGAAGTCATCAACGTCGCAAGCAGAGGCTCGTGGTTTCATACTTGAGCCATCAATATGGAGCGCAAATATATCGTTCCTTTTTATTTGATTGATTTTCACATGATTCTTTTTAGTATGTGTATGTCCCAGTGGCAGAAAGGGTAATTATGAAGATAAACGTTTTGAGGTCATTGCACTTTTTTTTAAACTATTAGGTTGTTATTCCAACATTCTAATTTTGTTGTTATATGTCCACGTCGTTTGGAACTCGGTGAGTTAAGTAGCTGGCTCCCAGCTGGCAAAACTCGCCGTATTTTTGTAATTTTGCTGAAATTTTGCAGCTCTTCTTTTATTCAACTTCCTCTCGTTCCGAAGATTTTTGCGCCCAAAATTCCTAAAAACGACTGGGCTCGAATTTACTTTCTAAATGTTGAAATGTTCTTTTACGTTAGTAGTTTTAAAGCCATAATAATGTTTTACAATTTTAGCATTGCTCTAGTGGATAATACAACGTGTCACTTGCTTGCTTCAAAATATTACTAGTTTTTGAAAACCTATCTCGAGGTTTTTCTCGTCGACGCAGTACTTTCAGAGAGGGGGTCATTCAGCTTCATTTGCCAAATCACAAGACGGTTTCAACTTATTTTTGACTTATTATGATGAGCAATTTTAAAATTTTACACGATCAAACTAAAATGCTGGTGAAAAAATTCTGGTAAAAATTTAAGTGTAGGTAGCTTCACTAGTCTTTTCACCAAATTTTCTTTCTGTCATGGAATCAATATTATATACCGATTGAACAACCGTACCAACATGTCTGTACAGTTGAAAGTGAGTGAAGTTGTCTTCTGATTTTTTACTCTTAAACCATCGCATGAAAAAACTAAGAAGCCAAAGTAAGAAGAATGACTCGGACTTTTTTTAGCGATCAATGAGTCTTGTGAACGAGAGGTTTTTGTTATCATTTTTCTAGAAGGATACAATACTTGAAGAAATGCCTTATACTGTTATCTCATTGTCAGTAATATTCCAATTCTCATCTTTCTAGAACAAACGATGGGCGTCGAAGTAAAGCGCTCAGAATTGGTCATAACTTTGATTGCAACTGGATGTTGGGTCAAAAATTATTAACACTCTATTTCTTTCATTGAATTGATTTCACATTATTGGAGGCAATAGTCAGGGTAGAGTTGACTCGTAATTCAATTTTTATCAAAAAATCTCGTTTTGGTCGTTTGCGATTGCCCCATTTTATCAGTTTTTCGCCATGTTTCTTCCACAGACTGATCGAGACTCCCAGAAATGTTGCTTTTCTCCTTTCTTCTAGTCACAAATTATTTTGGGGGGAAGGACCCAAAGAGAGCCACCCAAAATATTATTTTGGTCTCCTCGGGCTGTTGGAATGACAATTATTGTGGGCGAATTCATTCTGTGATATGTGAGTACAAGTCATATACTTCAAATATATTTCAACCATAATTATTTCAAGTTTCTCTTTGTGATAATGAAAGACCCCTTCTCTCAATTCAACTTGAAATAGAACAACCTATCTTTAATATTACAGATCCGTATTTTTAGTCATTTTTGCGTGAAAAGAGGTAATTCTTTGTGTGAAAGCAAAAGGTCTGTTTGAGATATCGATAAAAGTCTATCGGAAAGAATCCTAATGAACCCGAGATGTGTCAATTTCAGAACCTGCAATAAGCCATTATGGAATTGTTTAGTCATTTATGTGTTTATGTCACTTTATGAGGGTATGTTTTCAAAGGAACCTCCTTTTAAAAACGAATGCTACTTCTACAAATTTAGAGCATTATATTTAATGAGTAAAACGTAAAAAAATTGAGAGAAAATTGATATTATTATTTTTAAAGATAGTTACACTAACCAATTGTGATCACTCACTGCTAGTATAATTGAAAAGGTTAAGCTAGAGGGATATATAAGGAACTTTTTATTTAAATTTAAAATGTAAAATTCCAACATCGCCAACAGGAATTTAACTAACCGACAAACCTACAATAAAAAGTATCTATCAATGCGAACGTACTCTGAAGCGAGGTCCGAACAGACATGATATAAAAATGTCTGAAATGTCATGTTTATTTATTAAGTATCTATGTAGCTTACGATGCATTAAAGTAGGTATTGTGATATTGAACTTGCGGATGCATTCATTGTAAGTTACAAAACTCGTATGATCACAAGAAATATGAAAAGTAAAACTATCAGGGATGAGAGCCAATGGGGTTTAATTGCATTGCAACGTCGGAAAGTTTCATTTGACAATATCTTCATTCACTCAAGAACGCTGAAAAATTATATTTTGAAATTTCAAGTGAGTCTTTCTGTGTGATTAGATGAAAATTCCCTGAAATTTTGATTTATGAAATGCTCTTACATCTGTTGAGGGAGGAATGAATGAGAAAATAAGTTTATTTTACTTTGGCGCGTTACAATACGATTAAGCTCTTCTGACTTTTACCTCTTCAACTTGTGGTTAGATTTGTTTTCACGTCACATGAAAAGCAAAGTGGATGAAGGCTGATATGGCGCAATAACTTCACTACAGCGGTTCAGCATTTCAAGTGACGTGTAATTCTATTATACATATATTTTTACAAAATGTTTGCCACTACTCAAATTTATGGGATTTTCACTGAATTTTTGAATCTCTGACTAAATAAAATTACCACACAGTAACGGGATGAATTCTCGTTGGCAAGTAAAAATTCGATAAAACTTTTAATAGTATTCTTGGGAAAAAAATCTACGGATTCACTATAAAATTACGCCAATTTTGGTTGTAATGGTTTATTTCAAGTACACGATTATTTATTCTACGTTTATATAGTCGGTGTATTTCAATTATATAATGTTCATGATGAACGTCATCAAATATACCTTTTGAAAATAATCAGATTTTTGTCGTTTGAGAAGCTATGTTACAATATCTGATCATCGTTTACTTCTCATCCCTTTTGGTAACGTTCGGTATTTATTATTATAGCTTGTAAGTTTTTTAGGATTATTAAATTTTTATCGATACACAATGATTTGTGTCACACATATGAAACGAAAAGACTGTAAGATTTTTTTCTTTCTTATGAATCTCCTATACGTGCCAAAATTTTGATGTCAAAATGCAATAAAAATTCAAATTGAAATTTCAAAATCAGTGAGACGAGTTTTAGTTCAATATATGTATATTTTCTGTCAATTATTTTTACCACTGCGATACGTGTATGATTGAATCAATGTTATTTATTTACAAAAAAATTATTATATAATTGGACAATACTTTTAATTGTTTATACTTTTTAAAAACGTTTATAGGCAGAACTTAACTCTGTGCATATTTGTACGTAGTTATATACATTTGTTTTAGAAAATACATGTGTATATATGTACAGTTTCATAGAGAAAATTACAGATGTCAATACAACGAAGTCTGTATGTTTTCCTTTTGTTTAGAGTCCATGCTGTGGATTTCCCAGTAAAAGTAACACGCCCCCAGAATAACTTTTAAGCCGCAAAAACTATCCTCCCTCGATGGAGAATATTTGCTCAAAGTAAAAAGAACTCTTGATCTGATAAATTTTATCAAATCTTAGTTTAAATGAGGAGCTTGGAGGACAAGGCACACGCGTACAGTTCTTGATATTTAAAGAAATACGCGTTTAAAGTTTAAAAACTTCATGGAGCCATACGGTAGAAAGAAAGTTCACACTTCCTTTTTGATGGTTAAAAATTGGATTTGCGTGATGAACTTCTCACAGAATATGGATTAAGACTAGTTTCAGTTGAAATTATTTATATCTCATTTTTTTGAAAAACTGCATTCATCCCGCTTGCCTTCCAAGCCTCTCAAATTAAATACAAATAGAGAAAATAGACAAGGATGGCGTAAATTTATTTTATTTTGCCCAATTTTTACTGATGTTTTATTATAACAAGGAATTTTAACCTCATTCTCCCTTGAAGTTACTTGAGGATATTCTTCATACGCCAGGAAAAGTACACGTGAAACATATAACCGAATTGTAATTTCACATTCAGAAAAACTGAGCATATTCTTAATTTTTCTGCAAAAGGACAAAATCGATGGTCAAGTGAGAAGCCTTCCATCTCCGTTTGCAGATGTCGTGTCATTATTACATTTTTCCTTTGAAAAACTAGTCAATGAAATTTCCTGAAGACTTCCTTGAAATCTCTTCTCTGTTAGCGGAATATTCTGTATAAATTTCAAGATGTAAAGTTGGCTTATTTTGCGTCTTAAAAATATAACAAGAGCGGAAAAATTTGTCGTTTCCAGCACGAAGGAAGGTACCTAACTCCATTCCAAGGTTGCCAAATTTGCTCAAACAATTAATTTATTTCATAGAAATGTACGCGTGCAATTGTTATCTAAAATTTTTCTGTTTTTTGCTTGGAATCTAGAGAAAAATCAGGGACATTTTCAGTCAGAAATGCCTAAGATTCTCTTGATCAATAGGCAATTTGCGGGGGGAAATTTGGCAACAATGGAATGGAGTTACGTTCTTTCGTCCGGGAGACAACGAGTCGAAACACCACAATGGAGCTATACGTGGTTTCCGACTTTGGCCATCGGAACACGAGAGAAAATTCGGCAACATGAAATGTCATTAAGCTTTCGCTGGTTATATCTATATCCAGTTATAAAATCCTTTCTTTTTCGAAATTATTTCCTATATAAAAATACGCCTTTCTCTCAATTTCATCTGACCTCAACGTTCCTGGACGTGAATCAACGCATCTGATTTTTGAAGCACTTGCAGAGGATCTGACAGCGAGGCAGCCTCACCGTCTCAGTCGATACTCAGGTCTATTTTTAAACGTTGAATGGCATTACTGTAGAATCGACAAGGGCTATCATCGAAAATTGGATAATGCCCCTCTGCTCCCGCAGTTAGAAGAGACTGATGCTACTTCCTCGTCAGCTGAGGGCACTGCAGAAAAGGCGGACCTTTTGTATTTTTATTGAGCGAGACGGGTGCTACTAAAGTCGAGAGACCAACTGCATTGTTGCGAAACTCGGGATATTGTTGTTTAAATTTAAGATACCTTTATGTTACGCAGAGGAACTAACACAATTGTAGACTGTCATTTACGTAAGGGGACATTCATAGGATGTGAATACTTTTTTAAATGCAAATTATGACTCAAAAGTCAGCAAAATACGTTCTATGAGAGCTCAAATTATTGGTTTCAAGTGATGATCTCAATCTTGTCTACTTTAGGATGTAATGTAATAATCTGAATCGTCAAGTAGAGGAACGAAGAGATCTGATTATAGAGACCAACTAAACATGCTTTCTAAAGGCTGTCAGCCCCCCCCCCCTCCAAAACAGAAAAATCTTGTGTAAGACCCTGGTAAAAATTGGCGATAGGAGCTGCGTTTCAAAATACCATAGGAGTTTTTATAGCCGACTAAAGAAGGCCATAGAAAATCACATAGCTGGCTGTAGAAAGCGGAGCAAATCATGTAGCCGGGCTATACGAAGCTATGAAAAAGTATACAGTCGGGCTATAGTTTCTATCGCTGGGCTTTACACTTTATCGCTATTGGCTATAAAAGGCTGAAAGATATTGTGTAAAAATTCGTGTGCTTTGGAAATCATTAAGTTGTATTCGCAACTACCTTAATATTTACAAAACACACATTATATTTTCCTTTAAAACACATTTTTTTCATAAATTAAAATGAGAATAATCCATACAGAGTGTGCAAACATTTCAGAATCATGAGATGAAAAACGCTGACTCCGCGAGATTAAATTTTAGAGCCTAGCACAAAGCGGAGCGGCGACGCACTGGCGCCTACAAACCTAACAGGGATACTTCACGCATTGCGCAATGCGTGAAGTATCCCTGTTAGGTTTGTAGGCGCCAATGCGCGTTTCGCGCTCTCTGCCTGCCCGCCCGCCGCGCCGCAGCGTGCCACGGCGCCTGAAGCAACTATTTCACACCGGAGGTATTGCACAGTATCGGAGTATCATAAGAAATTGAAGGCGCTCTAACATATTAAGAATGGCAGGCATCCTTCAAAAGTACGGAGATTTCCTCGCAAAATAAATCAAGATACTACGACACAAAAAGAGAGCGGTAGTCCAAAAACTAAGTCCTAGTATCCGTATTTAGTAACGTTTAGCATGAACTTTATCGTCTGGCTGTTGCTTCATCGCCATCAGCTATAAAAGGCCACAAGAAATTGTACAGCCGGCTGCAGAAGCTATCGGAAATCTTACAGCCGGCTTTAGGCCTATGGTATTTTGGAACACAGATTCTACTGCCAATTTTTACCAGGGGACGTTGGCATTTTAATATAATTGAATACTTCCTCAGAAATGAGGTACGAGCCTACGAGGCGTAATGAATTCCATGAGATTAATAATGATAGACAATGTCGTTGCTTTTGTCAGTTCAGGTAATCTTAAGACATTTTTTTTTTCGTCATTAAAAAGACACCTCAAGTCATTTTTTCGCTTGAAAAGTGATCTTGGCTACATTTGCAATTACTTCATTTTCATTTTAAGCCTTCACCACGTTAGTAGTGTACACTCTTACCAGTCGTCTTGCATCGGGTATGTCACTAATGTATCCGTTGGTAAAGGCCCGCACTGCTCCATGGGAATCGGCGCCGAGCCGTGGCGGATTTCGTGGCGGGAAGCAATACCTAGTTTCTCAATTTTTTTATGTATCATTTCTACCTTTTTTCTCCTATTTTGTCCACTTTATGTAATGCCTGTAGGCTTGTCTTTGAGAAATTAATATCGTCCGCTCAAAACCACTTTTCCATATTGACGAGGTGCTACAGTGAACGCTCTCCAACGTCTTAACGTTTGAACCGTCGTCTTGTTTATTTCTTTGGCAATGGTAACCTCAAAGGGTATCCCGGGATAAGCATGTCAAAATGCCCTTGCGAATGGATTTTTATTTTAACCATTTTAAGTCATCAAGGGTGTCCTAAAACTTAGGTTTTGGGGGATATTAGCCCCCCAACCCCCTCCGCCCCCCCTCAGACCCCCAAAAACCGCTTTTTTGGGCTATTTTTGACTATGCTAACGTCATTTCCTCATAACTTTCGTAATTTTCGATAGAATTGAACCAAAATTTGTCAGAATCTACTTCAATTAGCTTAGTTTTTGTAGAAAANAATGGTTAAAATAAAAATCCATTCGCAAGGGCATTTTGACATGCTTATCCCGGGATACCCTTTGGATGATTTTAACCAAGCATGAACTTTACACGTATTCCGAGGAACTGATGAAGTTATGAGCGACAAGTCGCCACTTCCGATGCTGGATGCTGCCGCCCAACTTCGTTATGATAAATTCTCTGACAAATTGAGTTGTTCGTGCAAAACCAGAAGCACCGTGCCCTTGCCAAAATTCGCGAATAAGACGCAGATTAGCAAATAAATCACATCGGTTACTTTCTTCCCTCTTCCCTTCTACACGTGGTTCAGCCCACACGGAAAAAGCTAATAATCGTGGGACCTTATTTTTCATGAGTAAGGCATCTATGCCATGCTTGCCATTCTGCGCTGAAAATCAGCATTTAGTCCTCTTCAACTGAGGAAAAAAAAAAAAAAAAAACACCAAGAAGTGGCCCGAACTGTATGTACTGTACTGAACTGTTGACACTTAAATATTATTAACTGTATTCTTTTATGTATATATTATTCTACCTCCCCTTCTCTATTGCTAATCATTATTAAATATCTTCTTTTCGTCAGACTGATGATGTCTAGAAAGACCCAAACCGGTATAGATATCTCGGTGTGACTTCAACTTAATATTCCAATGCAAGCTGCCCGAGCTGAACGGAAACTACCGCGTAAAGAGCTTATCCATAGTAATTTTAAAAAAAATTGACGCCTTCGTCATGCAAAAGTTTAAATTCCATCTTCTGAATTCTTGAACATTGAAAAATTCAACATGATAAAGACTGCTGAGGCAAATGCAGCACATAAAAATTGCAAAAATTGCTTTTCCGGTTATGCCATTTGGCTGAGGGTAATTAAAAACATTAGTCTTTCGGAATTAACGGAAAGTACACGTTCAATTACCTCAAATTATGAGAAAAGTATGTGACTGAATCTCTTTGAACTAGTAGATATTAGAATCAATGATATCAATTTACAATATGTGTTTGCTAACCGTATGTAGCCATGATTTAAATCCAGCTATAATTTGCGCGGCTAGCCTTAGAGTTCATTACAGTTATTGAAAATGATATCATAATTTGCCGAGTTGATTGGTGATTAAATTATGTCGGAGGGTGCTGCGTTTCACGCCCGGGAAGTTCAACTCGTAGTCGGTCAGAGAGCTTTTGCCAAACAGGTTTAAGGTCAGCTCAGTACGGTTTATTTTTAGTTTATCGTCTGGTCCCATGCCAGTGATGCGCATCCTACCACGACGCATCACAGATCCGCTTTACGCAGATCATCCAGATTTTTTCCCCTAAAAACACCCAACCGCTCGTAGGAAAAAGGACCCTAGTACTGTATTTATGGTCATTCCTGAGACAGTTCTTTTCCCTAGATAGCCCTATGTGACCTAAATTCTAATTAAAGGAGGTTTAAAGAGATCTTCAACACAGAATCATTAAAATCACAGCTTAAACTAATCTCCAGTAATATCGAACAGAATGACCTCAGGAATATAACATTGCCGGTGATTACATTGATTTGACAACATGTTAGAAAAACACGCTTCAATTCTTTGGTATCAATTACCCCATTTTGAAATTTAAAACGATATAAGCAAGGCACAACTCCTCGAGTTGATGGATTACTATGTTATCGCAAGGGGGACGATGTGTGATGTGAAGCCTTCCACGAAAATTGAAGGCGGATTGGCAAATGCATGCAGCCTTTACAACCTCAGTCAGAACATGCCTCTGTAAATTTAGAGGGATATAATTTCAAGCTCGTTGAAAAGCGTTAAGTAATGACGGTTGTGTCGTGCCTCATGTCATTCACAGCCACGAATTTGGGTGGGCGTTCGTGAGAAAATAAATATTTTCCGTCATTCAGATGCTGTTTACGACTTTTCATTTTTCAACACAGCATTCCTTCGGTTTCTTCTTCTCCTTGTACAAAAACAGTTGAATTTTAAGAAACATTGAAAAAGGCCCGAATAATAACAGCGTTGTCGTTAATGCGTAATCCTGATAGAAATCCTCGTGAAGAATTCTATCTTTAGATAGGGTTGCTTTTGTCAAGTTTTGGTAGAATTTCTCATTTAATTACTGGCGAAGCTAGTGAAATTGAAGTGTTTTATACTGTACTAACTATTGATATCATTGGATTTATCATTAGGCAGAAAATCTCTGCACGGTGGATGATTGTAATTTTATAAAAACTTCAACGGTCGCTTTGATCAGAGAAATAGTTTTTCTCTTGACTTTTTTGCAGATGTGACTGTTATGCTAAACTATGTTCAATTGGGAATTTCACCTCAAACGAGTCATTTCTTCATAGGTATTAAAAATCCCTAAAGGGCTGTAAGTCGACGTGCTATTAACGCCTCAATTTAGACAAGATATTTAGCGTGGCCACAGAGATTTTGTATAGTTTCAAAACCATATGACACTCTGGCAGCACGTAAACTAGGGAGGAATTTGGATGCTTCAGATAATTCTCTAAGCCGCAGGCCCGCCACATCCCATCTCGGGCCCTGGTACCAGTTTTAAGGTCCGGGCCCCAAGCACGGAGGGGGGAGGGTCCGAAGGGCATCCCCCGAGAAATTTTAGAATTTATACAACTAATCGGACGCATTTTGAAGCTTCCATAAAGACTTTTTCCATCAATTTCTGCGGAATAATTATGTTTATTTTTTTCTACTTTCAGCACAATATACTTGCGAATTGTTGCATTCAAAACATCTAGAACATTTTTATTTTTTTTTTAAGGGGGGGGGCATATGATACTATTTTCAGTTCTAAGAGAGCCAGGCCCCCCTGGACTCCCCCTTCGTTTGTCTATGGCAAGGGAGTTGAGCCATGAGCCATTGAAGTCGAGGATGCCCAGACTGGAGACGAAAATTTAAGAAGAATTCTATAGTGCCCCAGCGTGTTTCTGAAAATCTATTCACCTTTTGCGAAATTTTTAGGGTAAATTTTTCACTTTTTCTTACGAAACAAGGGTTGCATGGGAATTCGTAGTGGTTTTTCACGAGTAACACGGGCCCCCTCCGGAGCCCGGGCCCCGGTGCCAGGGACCCAGTATCCCCGCCTTGTGGCCGGCCTGCCTTCATGCACGCTGGACTTGTCGATTTCCTCTGAAATTTTTGCAGTGGTGAATGCATAGCTGAAGTGCGCTTCAGCTAGAATTGTATTTACAAATGGGTGGTTTTTCTACGAGGATTAAAAATAAACGAGTGGTACGGAATATAACAAAAGAATATGAACTATGCAAATTGATAATCCGGGCATCGGAACTTGGCTGTTTTGAAAACGCCTTCAAATGTGGCGTGATACCTCACGCATTCCGGAGAGTTCAAATAGTTGTATCATTGCGCCGTATGAATGTGACGGAAGATTAAAATGGAGATAGCCTTCATGCACGCTGGGCTTGTCGATTTCCTCTGAAATTGTTGCAGTGGTGAATGCATTGCTGACGTGCTCTTCAGCTAGAATTGTATTTACAAATGGGTGGTTTTTCTACGAGGATTAAAAAGAAACGAGTGGTAGGGAGAATAACAAAATAATGTGAACTATGCAAATCGATAATTTTTTTTATACTTTCATTACAAAATACTTGTGAATAGTTGCATTCAAAACATCTGGAAAATTTTTATTTTTTTTTGGGGGGGGGCATATGATACTATTTTCAGTTCTATGAGGGCCAGGCCCCCCTGGACTCCCCCTTCGTTTGTCTATGGCAAGGGAGTTGAGCCACGAGCCATTGAAGTCGAGGATGCCCAGACTGGCGACCCGTAGCATCTGACGACGGAAGAAAATGAAACGCAGTTACTAAAAATATCCCTCTGTACTTAAAATCTTGAAAATAGATAGAAATTTTCCAAGAAGTATACTTCTTTGAGAATTTAAGAAGAATTCTACAGTGCCCCAGCTTGTTTCTGAAAATCTATTAACCTTTTGCGAAATTTTTAGGGTAAATTTTTCACTTTTTCTTACGAAACAAGGGTTGCATGTGAATTTGTAGTGGTTTTTCACGGGTAACACGGGCCCCGGTACCAGGGACCCAGTATCCCCCCCTTGTGGCGGGCCTGCTAAGGCGATTCGACGGATGCCATTTTTTGTGTCAGGCCGAAGCGACGTGCGATACATCGTATCAATTCGTTCCATAATTTCAGCTACTTGGCATTTTTTTCGAATTTTGAGATCGTACTTCTGTTGTCATGAGACTAAGGAATTCATGTGCCAAAGATTACAAAGAAATTCAGGGTTTTTTCAGAGGAAAAATATCGCATTCGAGTGCTGTTTCGATATCAGTATCGAATGCGATATTTTTCCTCTAAAAAAGACCCTGCCTTTATTACGTTGAATTTCTCTGCCAAAGGTACATGAATTCTTTGTCTCATGACAACAGAAGTGCGATCCCAAAATTCGAAAAAAATGCCAAGTAGCTGAAATCATGGAACGAATTGATGCGATACACGTCGCGTCGCTCTGACACAAAAAATGGCAACCGTCGAATCACCTTAATGAAGAGTCGTGACGCTAAGTAACGCCTTCAATGGGGAAAGATACTTCCTGACGTGGCCACAGAAGCCAAAAAATTGCATCTTTGAAAAACGCAATCATCAATTATTGTGTTGCAGCACGTGTATTAGAAAGTAAAGCACACGATTAACGAGTAATTAACCACAACTTTACTAACTGCATTTGAAACGTTAACAAACAAACGATCCTAACCCACTACACGAAGACAGAGATTCAACATCAGGGTGGCTTATTTGTCGATGAATGATTGTTAGTAAAATTTTAATGCAAGAACATCAAGTTCCGCCAAATGCTTGTTTGAAATTAATCTGAATCCTTTCGAAATGGATAAATCTAGATTGGAAAAAATCATTCAATGTCATAAGAGAGATTCAATATTTTATTTAAAATAATGTACAATGGAAGTTAACAATCAGTAATAAGCTTAATTACAAAAAATAACACACAATAATGAAGGCTTTTGCCTCTAAAATGAACCGGCTGTTTAAAGGCATCAAATGCGGCAAGCTAACATGATTGTATTCCTTTGACGTGGGTATTACGAAAAATATAATCTTTGGATGTTCAATTGCAGGTAATGAGTTAAAAAATTAACTCGCGAAGAAAAAGCAAAACTTCAACTCCAGTTTCGTCGAAAAAAGTACTTTTTCTGACGAACTCAGGGGTAACTAAAAATGTGAGATGCACACCCCTTTTCGGGAGATATGTTTTCCTGCAGCGATCCCTTTTTCTACCAAAGAATTTCGCTACGTCGTCAATAAATTCAGTCTTTCGTTTTGTCAACTTGTACTGTGTACTTGCACAAACACTTACAAATACTAAGGTTCCTCGAAATGTGCACTTTTATGTATGTGTGAATTTCATCCATCCAAAAACAGCTAGCTTCCTTTAATATTCATACACTGCTTTTTCTGCTGGGCTATAATATCACAAATGATGCGGCGATTATAGAAGCACTCGACATTGATGGCTTGAGATTCATCCATATGCACAGAGGATCCGTCGCAATATTTATTTATTCGGGAAGGGCAGTGAAGCTTAAGTACACATTAGCTCAAGCTAACCTAAATGCTTCATGTTGAACAAATCAAGGCAGAAAAAAAAGGTACGGTAAAGTTCATTTTAACTCACTATTATAAAATAACTTAATGAGAAACTTTTTAGGCTAGATTCCTCCTGCAAAGCGCGTTATACTACCGTGTTGTTCCTTCCTTTCTCACACACAATTGAAGACTTACAATAAATAGAGCAAAATTAGGTACTCAAACGGAAAACTGTCTGTGTGTGATACGCCTCCGTCAGGAAACACAATGAGGATTAATCTAAAATAAACGTTTGCAGTTCTACTGCGTACTGTTCGTGGCAAAAATAAAAGGAAGTTGGAGATTTTGAAACCACGTCACACGTCACCCCGATGCGCATTTCTTGACAAAGATCATCATCTTGAAACGGTCAAGGAATCGTATTTCCATCTCGTTTTTTGCTTATCATGTATTAACAATACATGTTTTTTTGTTTGACAATGCAGACAACCGTAAGTGCTAAAGTTGAAGGAAAATCTAGTTTTACCACTAATTTTCCACCCTTGCCCGACTACAAAACACCGGAATGTCAGTGCCAAAGGAAAAGCTCTGAATCGCAAGATGAGAGGAATAATATAGACTTTCGGCAAAAAACTATTCAGCCTTTTTTATAAATTTTTTTTTTTTTGTCGTAATCTTTGGCTTGAAGCCTGAAAGGGCAGCATTTTATTGGGGGGAGGGGGTAAAATTCCCTCCATGTCCCGCTCTGTGCGCCCGAGTCGAGATCTGAAACTCCTTTGGGAGGATGCTGTCACGCAATAATCGAGTCAGTCTATCGATTGCTCTGTTGAACAATTTTGAAATAATCTTCTTTTTTTTAGAAACAGAATGGATCAGGTTTAGAGGTAATGCCTGTGTTATCTTTAAGATATCTATCTATGTCTAAAGATAATTCTTTACTGGACACCGAATTTTCTTGGCTCAAATAGAAAAAATTGTCTGTCAGTGAAACCGAGTTTTGGTTCTGCCAACCAGTGTTTAATATGAACCGAAGTTCAGTCCCTCCTCCTGAACTTGTTTTTCTCCGTGAAAAGGGATTTTCTATTGTTACCGAAGGAATGCGCCGCCTCGCGCTCTGCGACGCCCAATCGCCATGGGAGGATAGGGGTCATTATAATATAACTCGGCTTATTAACATAACCCGTAATAACACTGACAGAAATTCAATACTGATTACCAGATTTCCTATATAGATCCTATAGGGGCCGTGTATAATCAGGGACCTTGTGACCACAAAAATTCCTTTCTTCTCCGTGCGGTATGAAATATCTTGTGACTGAACCCTTTTAGTATGAATTTATTACAAACCAATCGATGGACCGATTCGATTTATTGTTCCTGTGACGTTACGCTGAGGCGTGCTATTTCAGTGAATTATCACTCATGGTGGGCAGTTTGAGCGCGTAGAGCTGCTTGTGCAGCCGCTGCCTGCAAAATTGGTAGAACTCAATTTCTCGGGTGAAGTTACGTCGGATGATGTTCTTGATTTCCTCGCTAATGGTTGGCTTGAATGCATTTCGGTTGATTTTGCGGAAACCCTGCATCTCAACTGGGAACAAAAGAAAATTCGTTAAGATTAAAAACCATGCTTGGAAAGTATGTATATATGAAGCCGTTTTTATAGCGCTCTCTGGCGCTCTGCGACCCCTAGCCGCCGAAGTCCCCTATCCTCCCAAAGCCCTTCAGGGAGTTGGCAAACCCTTATTTCTTTTAAAATCCCCTGTCGCCACCCTTTCACTGGGCTTCCCCTTCGTCTCTCCCCAGGAGGAACCCAATCAAGCAACTTCTTTAGCAGCCTTTCGTCCGTCATTCTATTGACATGACCTTACCAGACAAGCTGTCTGGTCATGACGTCGAATATGATGAAAAGTCCAAATCAGCTTGGAAAGTTCAAATCGTAAAAAAATGGTTAGACGCTGTTCAAGTACCTGATCATGTGTATACACAAATCGATGTTGTGCGAAACCACGTATCTCCAATGCGGTGTTTCAAAATTTCCGCTTCCATCTTATTTTTGTGAGGAGAAACACGCCAACTCCACATCTCGAAATTTTTACAGAATATCCTGCTACTGGAGAGGAAAAATCAAGGAAGATTTCTATGAATTATTTTGACTAGTTTTTCAAGGAAACCGGTGAATTAAGATAAGAGGTCTGTAACGTTGTAAACGGAGATGCGTAGTTTTACACTCTGGCCATAGATATACCAGTCTGTAACTCAGAAATGCTAAAACCCTAGGTGAAGGATGATAGAATGGGTTAGGCGAAAGTAGAGCCAATAGGTAAATCCAATAATTAGCAATACAGTAAAAAAATGACCTCTTGCCTGAGCTGCCCTCTCTCCGCACTTAGTGTTGCACTGACACCCATTAAAGTTCACTCTAATGCAATTGTTGGCTTTAAAATCCACGCAGAATACTACCATGCTAAGAAATAACACCGTATGAGCCATCAAGCGTTACCAAATTTCCTCCTATAAAATATGAATTTTCGCGGAAACTGTTGGATATTTTTCTTCAAATTCAGACAATTTTGTACACACTTTAGTCTAAGATATCTAAAACACTATCCTGAAAATTTCATTTTTTATAGGGAAATTTGGCAACTCTCGAATGTTCATACGGCGTTCCTCCTTATCACGGCAGAATAGTGCTGGTCCAGCACTACTCTACCATCCTGTTAGTATTTTTAATGTTCCTTTCTTACCTTGATAAATATATGAGGACCCTTTGAAGAAACGAGGGACGTAGTTCTCAAGTACCGTGAGTGTGGTATTCATGTCCTCTAAAATTCCCACGACGGCGTAATTTTCCTCCACTGCCCGCTTGGCATTTTCCAAGGCTGCTTGCGAGTTGAATGGTCTGGAATAAGGAAAATCAATTCATGGCATGTCGTAAACTCAAGGATGAAAACCTGATTGTTGAAAAATTAAACACCCGTATTCCGCCGTGCTAAAGCAAGAACGCCGTGTAAGCCTTCAGACGTTGCCAAATTTCCTTCGACAAATCACAAATTTTCGGGGAAATTTGCAACTATTTTTCATCCGATTTTCAGGAGAATTTTATTCGTAATTTGAGCTAAATTTTCTGAAAATCTCAAAGAAAAATATTCATAACCCTCCTCAAATATGAATATTTTCTGAGAGGAAATTTGGCAACATCCGAATGCTGATACGGCAATTTCCTTAGCACGGCGCAGTATTGTGATATGACGGTCACGGCAATGCCAACAGGTCGCCTCCATTGAAATTTTACGCAAAAAAGCTATGCACAGTATTGCATATGACGAACAATTTGGAAGTCAACTCCTGTAAGCAATTATGAGTAGCGTCAATTGATTGAATAGAAAACGCACATAAAATAAATCTTAAAATTAATAATAAATCTACTACTTAAAAGATATTGTTTTCATGATTATAATGCAAGATTGACTGCAAGTAGAAATAGATCATTATCATCGACTAAAATATGAAAGTATCTCAAACTCCTTTATCCTAAGCCATGGCGCAACAAACGACAACAATAAATGAAAAAGAGGCTTCGGGACGCACCATTTTGATGCGACATTCAGGTTGGATAAGTGGTATCTTCTGAAATTGAAGGCGATTCAAAGTAGCCGATAATTGTTGGGACAGTATCATAGAAGTTATATAATTTGCATCACACGGATCTGAAGGAGCTATATGTGATCGAGAGTTGAAACAGGTTGACCCCTCAAGCCCATGATTTTGCTTCTATGAAAAATACTCACAAGCACTCATTGCCTTGTCCGCAGAAGAACATGGTTTGTCGTCGGTGGTCTCCAATCCCCTCTCTCGTTTCTCCTTCGATGTATTGACACTCTCGATCGTGTTGAAGTACGCACGTCTCAAAGTCCTGTCAAGCAAAACAGTAGAAAGAATATTATTTTTGGCTATCGTATAAGCGATTCAGGGTAACAAGGTTTCTTGGATTTCAAGATCCGCCAACTTTTCCATGACTTTTCGTAGTTTTTGCATACTACTACATGATTTCTTATGAAAATGGTTAGCACCTCGGGACCTCTCTTTGCTGAAGAAACTCCCCCAGACCCTTAAACCTACTCTCTTGTTGATTCAAACGCCCCCCCCCCTCTCCAAAGTTTTCTGGATTAACTTCGGAAGTGGATTTTACGTAAGTTATATGTATAAAACAGGTAACGATTATTGTGTACGGGAACACTCAGTCTACGTAAAGTACCATCTAAAAAAGTTCAAAGTCCGATCGCTCACCTTCTTCAGCCAGGAGGGGTCTGGGAGGGGAAGGTCGGGAAAGGCTTGTTTCCTCTCAACATAGTACCACGGCGCACGAACGTAGTAGTACCACGAGATCACTCTCTCTACAGGGTCCCGCACCATGTTCACATAGATCGGCTGAGGAATCCTATAGCTGAAATCATCAAAAAACACATAAACGTATGAACAAAAGTATAAAAAAAAGTATAGGGGTCGTAAGTTTCAACAAGTCTATTAAACAACCCAAAATTCAAATTTTAAAACAAAATGAAATAAAAGATAAGTTAATTAAGTTGGTATTTGCTATATTGTTAATAAAAATTTTAGAATTACCATAATAAAAAATTTAAAAAAAGAAGAAAAAAGTGAGTAGATACACAACTACCTAGGTTCAAAAAGTAAGCTGTTTCGGATGCAAATTACCTATTGTTTGAGCTCAGATGCTCATCTGAGATAGGGAGTTATGAAGTACACTTAAGAGGTACATTAGGTTCTCTTATCTTCAGAGGTGAAAATTATGTATTTATGAAAGAATAGAATTATAAGTGATCTCATATTATCTAATTTGCCGCAGTTAGAAGGTCTACAAGGACTGTTTATCATGTTTTTAAGATGTGTAGGAGTGAAATTGAAGCAAATATCTCTCTGTATGCGTTACAATTAGCGTTTCAGGCTCTCTCTAGTTGGAGAACTTTCTCCTCGGTGTGACAAAATCGTTTTTTGTCTCATTTGCATTATACTCCCCTCCTCTGTCTTAACTCAAACCCTTTGCCGCAAATTCTAGTTATTCATTGTCAGATTCAGTGGAGAAGTTATGACCAGAAGCAACTTAAATGCAACAAACGTTGCCCAAATCCCTTTCATGCATGTTCTATTCTTTTAACAGAACATAGAGCAAAATTCTGATTTGAAATTTTGTAAGTATATGCGTTATAACTTTAGGAAAATGTCGATGACCAAAGTGTGAGACCACGTTTCTCCGTTTACTCGTTACGGACTCCCTGTCATACTGTATGTTTTCTTTGAAAAACTAATGAACTTAATTTTTTGAAAACTTTTATTGATTTTCAACAGAGTACTCTGTATGAATGTCGAAGGTATAAAGTTACCTTAATTTTCTTCAAAGGAATAAAATATGAGCGAAAATGTTAAGACACCGCAATGGAGATATGTGGTTTCGTGCTTTGGTCATCGATGTACAGAAAATAAGGCGTTATGTTATTTATTTAAGTATTTAGAATATGGAAAAAAGTAAATCAGGCAACTTTTACAAAAAATTTCCTTTCATAGAACATTCCTCACCCAGCAAAGATTTAGCGAAATTTTAAAGGAATGACGTTAAATAATTTTCTATTTAAAAAAGCAAGTACAATTATGATAGGAAACCCGTGGCGTCACGGACCGAGATACTCATTCCCACAGTTTCACCGTTGAAACAGCTTTTTCCATGGCATTTTTACTGCGAAAAATTTCCCTACTTCTTGGTTTTGGTTCGATGACGAGAGTTCTTATTCTCAAGACATTACATTCCCGATAAATAAGACAAAAAGTTGCACGATTTTAGCAACCTTCAGAGCTCGATTTGCCATTAACCTACTCAGATCCAAGAGCGTAATACTCTGAGAGGCAGAACATTTTCGAGACCTTATTGTAACGTCAGTGCTTGTCTATTTAGAATTTATTCCTGGAATATTTCATCACTTTTCATTTTCCAGATCCAATTCCTTGACGTTGATATTTATTCGGAAGTAGACACCTCAAAAATCTATAAAACCATCTTTATTTAAAGATAAATTCAAAACAATTTTCCTGGCATCTCACCCACTTAATCTCCTCCTTTTAATGAGGAAAGGAGGAAAAGTTTGCGACCCTCCCCTCCCCCTTTGAGTGCTCCTACTTTTAAGGCACCGACCAAAGTTTAGCCTATGCAGGCCCTGATTACAACTGATGTCGCTAACCATGTTTTGAATTCCAACTCACATGAAAAAAAACACATGTGGCATCATGTCCGTTCATCAGCGCGTCCAATTTGTGCGCACGAAAATAATACAGTAAGGTCTCGTGCGGCTAGGATAACGTGATCCCACGTTCCGTTCTTGGCGAGAGGATATCGGATATCCTATTGACCTCCTGTATAGTCTCTCACAATCGGTTTCGTTTCTCCGGTTAATTGCCGATGAATCAATCGGACGGACCGCGATTAATCAATTTCGACTGCTCGCTCGTAAATTAAGTCATCGCAATAGGTTAGGTTAAGTACTGCCGTGCTGAGAAAAACCCCGTATTAAGATTTGGACGTTGCCAAATTTTCCTCCTTAAAACATTCATTTTTGAAGAAAATTATGCATAGTTTTGTCTGAAATTTTCGGATACCGTTGATTGAACTAGGAATTAAATTCTGTGAAAAGTTGGGAGAAAAATGTCCCCACAGGTTTCCTTGAAAATTGGTATGTTTTTGGAGGAAATTTGGCAACGCCTGAGGGTTCATACGGCGCTTTTTTACAGCACGGTAGAATTACGTGGAGGTCTCTAACGGAAGATGAAAGAGCAGAATGCTCGAATTACTGCTTTCAACCGTTTAATCCATATTCTGATGGACAATGGCGTTTGAAGGATGTTCTTAAAATATCTCTAAAAACAATAAAACGTTTCCTAGATCACTCTTTAAAACGAGACAAACACTGAGATACGTCAAAAATTATACCTCGGAGTGTTTGAGAAGGTAATCATGAAAGTCAAATGTGCGTTTTTATTATGTTTACATATAATTTTAAAAACATTTCTAGACGTTTTCATGAAAATGAAAACAATCTCAGGGCCAACCTCTCTAAAAAGCTCATTTCCTTGGGCGACGGGCTTTCCTGCGAGCAATTCTTTATTTGTAATTCGAGAACATCTCATAGGCATGAATAGTCTCTCTTAAAGTCACCAGTGGCGTGGCATGCTTTGCGATATATCAATTGATCTACCATTTGAACCTATGGAAAATATCGATAATCGATCATTCACACCTCGCCACTGAAAGTCACGCCCAGAACTACGCTACATCAAAACTGAAGAACAAAACTTAATCACATCCTACATCTGTATGCAACTATTCGCTTCTAATAAGGAGAGATATCTTTCGTGATATAACGAAAAGTTGAAAGCGCTCGGCCATTTTGGATCCTCGCAGGAAAAGCCGCCGGTAGCGCCGCGCGCGTTGGGTGTTTGGACAGTCAAAACGCCTTCAACTACAAGCGTATGCAACACGGACATCCATGGAGGCCGAGTAGTTGCATCCAGGAGTTAAATGAAATTTGTATAGTGTTCAACTCTGAGTGTTGCTTGCTTGTCTTGCACTGTTACATGATTCCAGCGTTGCCTTTTGTGCTGATGAAGCAAAATATTACTGATTTCATTTGTGACATAGTCAATTTTCCGAATATTGCTTGATTGTTCAAACAAATACCAACTTTGCCGTCCCAAAATGTGGGCTGCGGCCTCTTCCTACGAAGAATGCGGCAAAATCTTTCCGGGGTCACTTCAGAGAAATTCGAGAGCGCATCTCTCTTCTTTTATTTTCCCTGAGGAGTTGGAAAAAGCCCAATAAGAAATGTATATAATATTGTATTGAAATGTATATATTAACCTATGGTTAACTCAGAGCCTGATGAGGCAGGACCCAAATCAGTGGCATGGCGTGCCTTGTAATACATCGATTGATCTGCAAGCCCTTTAAACCAATCGAAAAGGATCGATAGGCAGAGTGTTCGCAACGAACACCGTAATAATCGATTCTTTAACATAGTTTCAAATTGGGAAATATCGATTATTGATCATTCACACCTCGCCACTGACCCAAAGCTTGCAGAATGTATGTCTTACATTACTGATCGCTTCAGGATCATCGAATCTGAGCATAAGTGGTCTGACTTTTCATATAAACACAAATCCATGGTGAAGTATTTACAGGAAGCCGGCCCTGAAGTTCTCGCATAAACTCCTAATTAAGACTTAGCCTACCTGTCACATTCGTCACTTCCGAAGAGGAATTATTCAATTTGCTGGGAACGGTTAATAAAGTGCTTCGTGAAGTGAAGTAAAAAATTAACGAAAACTCATCATGCAACTTTTCCCCACAGAAATAAAATCTCCAAAAAAAATCTAACACGTTGCACTGGGATAATTATTCCAAAACTGGCATCGGCGAAATGACTCAAGTAGAAAAGTCTACTAGTCATAACATTGTCGAGCTAAATACCTGAGAAAACTAAATACCTGAGAAAAAGAAATGCAGTTAACTGCACACACCGAGCGGGGCACCTATCCTACTGTGATATGTAAAAACGCCCTAAAAACTCTCAAGCGTTGCCAAATCTCCCACAGTAAATTGCGGATTTCTTGGAAAACTTGCGAATATTTTTCTTCCAATTTTTCAGGAGAACGTTTCCTAAGTTAAATCTAAAGTATTCGGGAAATTTGAAAAGATAATTTTCATTGCCTCTTTCAAAAGTGACTTTTCCACCCGGGAAAAATTTGAAACAGTCGAAAGTTGATACGGCGTTCTTCCGAAGCGTTGTGCCACGCATGGTGTAAAAGCATCTCCATGTCCGCTCAATTGACTGCGAGACAAAACACTAGCAACAACGTCAGTTGGCGGATAACAATCACGGAAACACTGCCGTGCTGAGGAAAAACGCCGTATCAACCTTCAGGCGTTGCCGAATTTCGATGGATAAAATACGAATTTCCTGGTAAACTTATGGCTATTCTTCTTCCAATTTTTCAGCAAAGGCTGTTCGCAATTTCACCTGAAGTTCCTGAAACTCTCAAGGAAAAATATACAAAACTTTCCTCAAAAATAAACATCGTATTGAAGGAAATTTGGCAACACTCGAATGTTCATACGGCGTTCCTCCTTAGCACGGCGGAACAGATGCCGCTGCAGGACGCAGGAGCATGAGAATCTCGGAGCGGAACTGGGCAAAATTCGGCGCCGAAAAGAGTGGCGTTGTGCTCCATTACGCTACCCACTAATTACTCCTGAACGTGTGAAAGAGAGACGGCCTAGCGGGAAACAATGACGAGACTAATAACACGTTGGGAGTCCGGCTATTTCTCGGCAATGCGATTTAATTGACGGTCCCCTTCGGTGAAAAGAGGGGGGCTNGGGGCGGCAAGGGGGGGCAAGGGGGGGGGCACGCCGAAATCACGGGCGAGTCGCATCAACGCGACAGGAGCGTTGCTTCAGTTTTATGAATGTCACCATCGTCTTCGATACTCCAAATGAACGTACTTAAATCCGAAGGAACCAACTTGATTTTGACTTGGGTCCTGGGACCTATAAGTTTACACGCATAACAAGGCCCATGTTGCCACGGATATCGTTCATTTTCATTTGAATGCGTCCAAATGCACTTTTAAACGTCCCGATTTTGAGCGGATTACTTAACGATAAGCCGTGAGAATTCGACCTTCGGATCTTTATTGCGGTTTTTTTGTTGTTGTTAGGGACGAGCGACATAAATGAATGTTTTGGGTGGCTGAAGAGCATATTGCGTTATCTGTGATCCGAGAGTAATCGATTTGTAATCGCCGCGGGCTTACCATATGCCGAGAAGGAATCTTTGAGGGGCTCCATGATGGAGGATTCTTGAACTGTTGCCACACACCCCCGAAAGATACATTGAATCGTGGTCCTCTCATAGAACTTCTGTTGACTTTTTAAGTGTGTGATTACGGCTCTATTTGTTAAAAATGCCTTGTTTTCAAATAAGTCTATACTGATTCTGCTTGCTCCCTCAAATAACTGGAAGTTAGTGTCTAATGACTAAATTTTATAAAAAAACCTCTGTCACCGATGACATAGAGTCCTCTGTTTTTCTTTGCTACAGAATAAGTAGAAATCTACTTAATGCACGAGATCAATTACGATGCAAAATTTGGAAGATTATTTAATAATATGTTATCATGAAAATATTATAACAGGTTAAAAAACAAAATTAAAATTCAGACCTTGTGAAATTGACGAAACAAATGTGCTTGACGTATACGGCTGGCGGCGAAAAAGTATCAATCATACGTGACAAATCATACTGTAAAAACATACAAAAAAATGAATCTGAAATTTTTCTATCTTAGTATCAAATAAAGAGTAAAAGAAATTAAAAAAAGTAATTAAATTAAAGGAAAACACGAAAATTGAAAGAAATAAAGAACATTTTTAAATAAAAGTCGCTAATTTTTAAATGAGCTCTAAAAAAATAAAATAATTATTTATAAAAATACCAAGACTGCAAATCTTGTAAAAGATACTATCGTACATGAGCGTAGCTAGAAAATTTTTTTACGGAGAACTAATGACCGATTCACCCTCCACGGGGGTCTACTGGTATTTAGTGACTACGTGCGATCACAAAATTCCGGGGGAGGGGGGGCAGATCCCCAGGAGTCCCCCCCCCATTCGTACGGCAATAACTATGATGCAAGTATAGTTAATTTCTTGGTAAAAATCATCAGTTACAAATTTTATTCATTCAGCGTTAGGTGATGCTCACACAAAATTATAAAAATATATGTCATTGAATGAAATCGATGATTCTCCTCCTAATGTTGAGGAGAAGTCGCGAAAAAGATGAAGGAGACGTAGAGAGAGAGGCAGACAGAAAGCTAGCGAGGAATTGAATAAATCCTCTCAAATACCTAAAAGTTCAAATTTCTCGGGTGAGATTGTGAAATGAGCTTGAGTATGGCGTCCATTACCATTTTTGAATATTGACATTTCAGTTTGTCGAGTATTTCATGCGGTGAATCCGAAAACGTCTTAAAAATGAAATTGAAAAGACCGACATTCTTTGCGAGTGAGATTTCAGTTAAGCATCCAGCGCAGGTGTTGCGTTTCAACGAGCCCTTTGGATGAATTGGGATTAATGAAAATTCACCGACTAGTTAAAAATTTCTGCCAATGTAAATTCCGTAACACTTCAATAATTCTGATGAACTTTTTGATATGAAGCAAAAGGTACCTCCAAAATATGCCTCACATTATGAAAACAATTTTGGATACTATGTAATTTTCACGTTTCTTTTTCAGATGGAAAGAGAGTGAGTGAAGAAGTATCCAAAATGATTTTTTGCGATAAAATCATGGAAAATGATTCCAATAAAATTTTACCATCGCGTTAAGTTTATTTCATCCCTACATCAACTTTAATCAAGCAAAGTAAGTTTTTTTTAGAAAAATAAATAAATAAATAAAAATTAATTTTACGCAAATAAATACTGATTTTATTCGAATTCTCGCCTTTTTTTTACAATACATAGAAGTTTATGGGCTAGGAGCAAAAAAGCACACCATATTCTGAAAAATCTTCATGAGACCCTTGAACGAAGAGAAACGAAAATCTGCTAACTCGATTGGGAAAAAACAAACAGGAGGAACTTATTCATGGTAGCCTGAACACTGCTCCTTTCTTGAGGTCTGAAAATTTATCTTACGAAAGCTATTGTCGTGATTCTCATAATTATGAACCCAATTACCTGTTCTCTGACACCTATTCGGATGGTTTCGACCCTTTGGATATGGTCTCGGTGAAAATCAAACTTGTTTCTCGCTGACAGTCGCCTCAGCATTTCCATAAACGTCTGACTACCAACTTTGGGTACCCTGTTGAAGAAGAGGATATCTTTCGGTGACTTCCTCGTGTTATTTAAAGCATTTACATCTAATTCTTCCATCTGCAACAGAATACAAATGTCGAGATCAAAATAGGTCAAATATTCGAAATGCTCAATATTCTTTAATAGAGAGCAGTCATTCTCAAGGTCTCCTCGTCGTAATATTTAACAATTCCACAACCAAAGCACAAACCATTAATAAAATAAAAATAATTCAATAATACTAATTACAATAAATTAATATGGATTAAAAAGTGAAATTTTATAACCTCGATATCAAGTAGCTTAATATGATGAAGTATAATGTTGAAAAAATTAAAATAACTTGAAATCTTAGAATAAAACCATTATAGTTTATATGAAACTCTATATTTTTAATGTAAAGATAAAACAATTTGATGATTCAAACTGAACTCCTTAAAATAAACCATCGAAGAATACAATTTACCAAAGTTTTTGACTTTTATTAATTCTGATAATTGATTATATATTTTCTATATTATTTCTGATTGTATATAAACTGACTAGAAATTGTTACGCGGGTTTTTCCACTAATGGGGCTGTAATGATTCAGCTTGCCCTTTTTGACGCTGACAATTGGTGACAATATAGCAGTGACAGTCTTGAACGTGGGTAACGCTGTTTTCGCTTCGTTTCAATCAAAGATAAATATCGATTCAAAGGGAAACAAAACTGATCAAAACCTAACCAAAGAAATTGCAATAAAATAAAATGAGATTGATTTGTTGATAATTTCTTAATCTATTTTCATTTTGATGCGATGAAAATAACAATTTACTCTTGATAAATCACAATTAAGTTATGTTTTCATTACTTTTGTGTAAACAAAAGTAATGGAAAGTATTCGAGGCACCGCCATCTTGGTGCACTCTTCTGTGACTCCATGAGCGAGAACCAATCAGAATTGGATTTTTTTAAGGCCTCTTTCAGCCCAACCAAGCCCGACCAGAATTGAGATGTCGTAACTCTGGGTATGAAGAGACTCAACTAAAATCAATTGTTGCACATACATTATAATGGAGGGAGTGCAGTAATCGCCGTTTATGGGCGAATTGGCAAAAACAGCGACCTCGAGCGAAGGTGTCAAACGAATTTTAGCAAGCTGTAATTACGAATTGTCCGCGGATAATTTCAGCTGCCAAATTTATCGGCGAGCCGGGCGCACTTACCATGCCAACAATTTTTGCAAACGGATGTTCGGATATTGTCCGTCGCCTCGACGAGACTGATCCAAAAGGATACACCTGAAATGTGTGATTCGCATGATAACAAAGAAAGAGCGCCCGTCGAGGAAAACTGATCATTGCAAGGTGAAATTTCATTCAAGAGAGCGGCCAGGGCTATTATTATGTTCATTATCACGCACGTGGAATTGATGGGAGTATTTTCAAGTTCACCTCCCGAAATGATTTCAACTCGCAGGTGATGAGAGTGTCTGATCAATGCAAGCAAGCTCATTAATTGAAGTTATTTAATAATTTATTTTGCTCTTTTTTGGTCCCCTGTACTACAGTTAATATCAGCTGGAAGGCATACCAGAGAACCGAATCTGAACTAAAATGAAGGTCATACCTATATATTGTTTTTCTTCAAAATTTCACGCAGAAAACGCATCAAAACACGCAAAGTTCGAAAATCAACTCCTGAGCGAAATATTTACTTAAGCCAAATGGAACTCAGATTATACAAATGACGTCATTTGTTTTTGGCAATTTAACCAATGTTAATTTTAAACCCTTGTATGGGTTAATCAATCTTGACGCTCAGCTCAAAGTGTACACACTTTCATCAACACAGTGTGGGAAAAAAACAATGCTCGACTGAGTAGTCTGCTAAAACCGTTGATAGTGCGCAGTTCGACTCACGGATGGTTTTTTTTTCCTATCATCGGGCAATTCAAAGTTCCCGTGCCCAATGGACAATAAAATCGTTAATATCTTAGCTAGAGGTTGATTTCAGTGGTTTCCGTTGCGTGAATCGTGTTCTACGTGAAATTTTGGAGAATAGAGTGCTTAAATTCGTACCTTGTTTAATGGTCCATTCAATCTAAAAAAACGAACGTACAGAACTTTCCTAACTTCCCTCAGAGAAAATATTTTATCGGGAGAAACGAGGCAATGTTGGAATGCTCATACGGCGTCAAAACACAACATGGGCCTTTTAAGCCCCATTGTTCAATGACGTGAGTGTCCTAACTCGAGTTCGAATAATCGCCCGAGACACGTTGCGGTCGGCGTCAAACTCATATCAGCGCCTGCAAGCCTGCAGGAATACATCGTGCATTGCGCTAAACAGTGCGGTCGGCGTCGAGAGCATGTTAGCGCCTACAAGACTGCATGAATACTTCTCGCATTGCACCAAATGCAATGCAAGAGTTATTTGCGGTAACTATCCGACTACGGGTATAGGCACATTGCCGCTAGCTGGATTGGAGACGCATCACACAGTGAAAGATGACTCGACACTCGACCGAACTCCCTTTTATGGCTTGTGCGACGCTAAAATCGTCGCAAGACTAGACCCACGGTTCGTTTCTTTTTACGGCCCCTGCCCGATTTTTACCCCAATTAAAGGGTAAAATTGCAACTATTCAGAAACTCGAATGATGTTTAAACTATGCAGCTATTCTGAAACTTAAATCGCATAAAATTAATTTTGGTTTGATAAAAAGAAAACAGAACGAACGAAAATATCGCGTCGAATTTTTTTGTGATTTTATTTTCAACCATTCCGAAAATTTCTCGGAAACTTCTAAAAAAAACTGTGTGTAGCTTTTTAAAAACGGTATTCAAAAATAAGACATAAAAAGTGGTGCATATCGTTGCAACCAAAGATAATTACGCTTTCTTTCGCGTGCACCTGTCGGTTTTTTAATCTATTCATCTCTGAAATAACTTGAACATGGTTGTTCTACGATTTTTCTTGTGTAGTTTTTTTTAGTGGTTGGCGGCCGCGTAGCGGCCACAAGCCCCCAGTCTGGTTATAATTAATTATCATCTGGGCACTTGGTTATTTCTACTGCTATGTTAATATCCAACCGTTCGTGTCAATCCTAAGAGTTTTCTAGGAAATGACTCCCGTCCCTTTATTCCACCCACTGAAAAAATATTTGATCCAGATTTTCTTCAGTATGACAACTAAATACGAATTTGACTCGAATAGGAGTCTTTAAATCTTTTTTATGATCGGACCAACTCAGGTTTGGGGTCTAGGATGACTCATTTCTCATATTGAAAATACTCTGAAGCACATCAATTTTCAATTTTTTCTGTGTAAGCTCAAAAGGCTGGTACCCTTAAAGTTCTTTTTAGCGCCCTGAATCACTTTATATTGAGAACAAATTAAGGATTGGCGATGGTTAGATATTTCTTTATACGTGATGAACCACTCGGAGGTCGTAACATGAAGTTTGTCACTATGACCTTATTTGTCGGCTGGACTTGCAGATTATACACCCATTCGCCTTCGGTCAACGTAGACAGTGGGAAAATGCCACATCTTAAAATTATACAAGTGACAATTCATTCGTGCGTGTAATTACTCGCAAATTTCCCACTAGCCTGGAGTTAAGACTTTCCTTCGTTTGTCAAGTATGCATGCATACTACAATTACATTATACGACAGCACAGGAAAAATGAATACAGTGTGTCACATGTAGTTGAGAACATACCAGATGGTAGCCGTTTTCTTGTGAAAGATATATTCATATAAATGGGTTTTAGGCGCCATCGTTGGAAAGAAGAAGAAGAAAAACAAAAAAGAAGAAGAAGAAGACACATCCAGATATTCTTGCATTGTTTGGAATAGTAATACAGTTACACATCACTTCACATTTCTCGGTGTAAGTCTGATCTGCTAATTAACAGTTGTTTTTCCTTCGTCGCGTTCAAGTCTCCAAGATATTGCGTGTGTGCAACTCGAATTAATATCATGCTCGGGTAATAATTGTATGCATTGCTATGGAAGGAAGCAATGAAAAAATACATAAAATAAAATTAAGCGTTGAGCAGCACCACGATAGGTTTGGAATTGGAAAAACTATTCATTCCTCATTTTTTAGAATGTTAAAAATATCCGATCAAATTGGCGTGAAGGTTTTAGGTTAATCTGTATGATTGTGTCGGCTCCCTTCTCATCCAGAAAAAAATCCTTCTGTCCTTGAAAACTCTCAATCTTTATTTATTGTGTGACTCCATATATTTTAAAAATAATTATTATATACTCACATCAACACTAGTTTTTAATTGTCGCATCATCGTGCCAACCCCGTTTTTCTCATCTGAAACACACAAAATAAGAAAATTAATATATTTGTTTTTCCAATTTTCAGCAATCAACCAGTGAACACAGTGGCGATTCTTGCAAGTTGGCAACACAGTGAATAATCTGTTTAAATCCTTAAATATATAGATCCCAAGTGAGGCAGGCTGCCTCATCTAGAATCGATTGTTTAACATACATTTAAATGGAGAAAAAACAGAGTTGCCAACTTGCAAGAATCGCCACTGTTTTCCGCTCCAGAAGAGAAAATTCCTTCAATAACAGTTGCGAATCTGAAAGAGATGTACATTAAAGACTCGATTATGTATGTAAAATGAAATCAGTACGATAATCAGTATCAGTATTTGCCATAATGTATCACTAGATCATCTGTGAAGATCTCACTACGACAATGCCATTTTTTCTCGAGTTAGCTGGGACGTTAATGACAAAAATTTCGTTAAGTATAAACTTTCACATGCAATTTAATTTTGTAACGTTAGTTGCCCTATGAAATGGGAGTTTCCTCCAAATATAGATACAACAACAATGACCTGACATTTTGCTTGTGGAAAACACAACTTGTATGTATTTTCATATCTTGGATCTTGACATGTTATTATCGTCGGTCTAGATCTTCTTTCTGCCAGTATAAACCAGCTGTGGATGGACTTGTCATCTTGCTCTACTATAACTCTAGTCCAGACGTTCACTCTAACAGTTCCAAATATAGAAGCAGCGTTGCCATATCCCTCACCACAGTTCTTGTCCTCCAATTTGTGGTATTTTAAAAGCTTTGCTTTCATTTCATTTAAAGAAGAACGAACCAGCCCTGTTACGTAAAATAACAGAATTTCGTCAAGTAGAGAAAAAAAATGGGGCAGTTTTCAAGGAATGACGTTAAGCATTTTTTTATTTGAAAAATGAATATCGACAAGAAATGTATAAAGTGCCATAAATCGAAGTATGCCTTCCTGCAGTTTTATAGGTATTCGTGTATCGTCAATACGGAGCCTCTTAGGAAAAGGAGCTGCTGAAAAACTACCATGAATCAGGTACTCTACCATAAACACGGTCCTTAATGCCCGGAATGTGTCCACGAGGGTACTCTGACAAGAACAAAGCACTCGATTTGTCAACAACGGTCGAAAAATTAGGCGCGACACGGCCGAAAAGAAGTCACGAAGAGCCGACCCGCCTCAGATTCCGAGTTGAGATGATCCGCCGAATGACGATCAGCTGATTGTGCGCTCACCACGTAACGACGACAAACGCCGTGGAAGAGACAAAAAAAAACGAAAATCATCCGGCTCGATGCTGTTCCTTTCCGGTCTCATAAGCACATCCCCGGTACTCCATCCGGTGATCTTGGATTTCCGTTCGTGGAGTTCTAATTCTGTGCCTGGAGAAGAAAAAGAATATTGATACAGAAGAAAGGAGATTTCGGGCGAAGCGAAGGGGGAGTAGGCTGGGAAGAAAGAAAAACAATTTTGGATGCAGTTGCTTCCAGGACGCAATTACGCGAGACGACCTTGAACGCGGGAAACAAAAAGTGCCCCATTATCCTTACGACTGAAAGTCTATCGAATCACGACGTGGGTCAATCTAACCACCAAATCGAAATGATTCGGATCTTGGAAATAGCTAACAGAGCATAAACGGTGCTTCTGCTCCTCACTCAACACAACCTATCACAGTTCTACCAAAGGTCATGACCGGTCGACGTACCAAGGTCGATTATTGAATCGACACGGAGAAAAAAAACTCGTGCGTGGGACCCAAAGTTTAGGTCATATGGATCTCTGAAGTTTTCAGATTGAGCATCTGAACACTTTAGGTCTAGCTGCCGAAGTTCGGATCATACATCTGAAACTTCAGTTCTTACATCTGAAGTACTTCAGATGTGAGGACCGAAGTACTTCGGATGTGAGAACCGAAGTACTTCGGATGTAAGAACTGAAGTTTCAGATGTATGATCCGAACTTCGGCAGCTAGACCTACAGTGTTCAGATGCTCAATCTGAAAACTTCAGAGGTCCATGTGACCTAAACTTCGGGTCCCACGCACGAGTTTTTTTTCTCCTTGGATAATCGACCATGATTGATAGGTAGTGTTGCTAGGATAAAGGGATAAATTGGATTACATTTTGCAATAAGGAACCACTATTTCTAACCCATTTTAGAAACGATATACGTGCCATTGGTTTCCCTATGCAGATATGTGCTTTCATGGGAGAGCCAGAGATAGTGGTCCCTTATCGCAAAAAGTAATCCAATTGATCTATTTCATTGGATAACGGTTCAAAAATCGACCTACAAGGTGTTGGAGAACAAATTTTATCGTCCGCGGTGGCAAAAGTTCAGTCGAGCTATTTACGCTAGGTTGGATTGAAGTATCGGGTTTTGAGATGTCGTAACAAAATTATTTCTAGTGTTCTAAAGAATAAGCCTTAAGCGGGTAAATTTATTTCTGTGCTTAAAGAGGGCTCAAAATTGCATCACAGTCTGACGACTTCGTGACGTGAACTTGAAAACCACGAAACCATAAGGAGCACGAGCCAATTCAATTAAAAAATACCATGATTATTGGTTATGGCTACTATTAATTAAGGGCTCATACGGAGCTCCACCAATGAGGTCATTTTAATCATATTTTTTCCAGTGCATAAAGGCGTAATTTTCTACGATTGGAAGTGGCTTTGTTTCCTCTAAAACGAGTAAAAGTTATTGGCCACGCGATTCATCGTTCTAACTTTCGTTCTTATTTACTCCACGGTTAATATCGACGTTCTACCGGACAAAATGAGCTTGAGTCTGGCGCTTCAAATGTAACGCTGAGGTCGTGGCGTGGAGCCCCCCCTCCCCCCTCATGGAAAGGGGGCAGGAGTGGAATCGTCGTGGGTCGCGTGCGAAATGGTCATGGTGCGCGGTCGCGGAGTCTGAAAACGAGACACGAAGAGCTATCATTTTCTCGGCCCATTGTCAGTTCACTGTCAGAGTCAGATGCTCCACTGTCTCCGTCGTCGCTGAAATTCCGCTGCAATTTGCCAGGTCAATGCTGCAGCCCAGAGGACAAACAGACACCAGCCTCCGTCGTTGTCAGATCCGATGAAAAGCAAGGAAAGCCACGCGCACATCGGCGTGGATCAGAAACGAAGAGAGAACTTCCACTGTCGTCATAGCTAGAGTACCTACATATAAAAACAGAGTAAGGCCATTTCTGGGCTGGTTCTTTATTGGTCGCGATTAAACAGGCCGACACGATGTTTTTACGGCCGTAAATAAACAAACAAGATGGCTGTTAACAGCAAGCAAGTTTGACGTTATGCACATCTTACATCCTTCTATGATACAGGCGAAAGGCCATTCAACAGTATTTTCTTGTGTTTTTCATAAGTTAGAGGGGATACCCCCTCTAAATCCATGATGCGATGTTCAAAGTTTTCTCAACCATTCATCTATTACAATGCAAACCATGTCGATGGCCAAAGTGCGCAACAACGTATATCCGTTTACAACGTTGCAGAGCTACTGTGATACCTAATTGTATCTTTTCGGAAAAATAACAAAGGAGCGGAAATTTTGAAACACCGCAATGGAGATACGCGATTCCGCTCTTCAGCCAATGATATGAGGTAAGAAAATGAGCTGTTTAAGGAACGACAATGGATACGGCCCTTCGGACAAACACCCCCTTCACGCCAAAGAGGCTCTGGCACCTTTAACTTTCACTCAGCTTTGAGGATTCGATGAATTGACAACACGGACATGTAATGTAGAGAGTATAAGCATTTGAGAGAAAGGAGCGGTTCCGACTCAATAACCCCGATCATAACCCCCGACGACGAAAAATGAAAAATCCATCCCGGACTCGGTTCCATCCGCTACTTGGCCATCGCTAGCGCGGCTGGGAATCGTTTTTACCCGCAAATGAGCTGCAATTCGTCTTCAGTGATGAAGAAAGTTTCAACGCGGGAAAACGCCTGTCACAAGTCGAGGGCTCCCACACGCTGAGTTTCTCGAGCAGTCAGCTGTTCTCCCAATGTTTCCTCCCAGCCTAGAATGCAAACTTAAGCTGGATCTTCAACTTCGGACCACTTTATTTTGGGAATGATCGATTCATCGCAAATTTTAACCAATAGCTAGATTTTTTCGGACAAATCCAAAGAGCTTATCAACAAAAGAAAATGCCCCTTCTTGGAGGATCTCAGGGATTTTGTTCAAATTTAGCTTAAAAGAAACGCTCCAGTGAAAGTTTTCGTTTCACTTTAAAGCTCTTTTGCCTAGATTTTCAAAGTTTACATTTCCTACTTTAAAAAAGTCAAATATTTTGAAGTTCCTCGTATGCAAAAAACAACTTTAGTTATGGTCCCTTTTTATTTCCGGATGCACGATCAACTGATAATACTGTGCACTGTGCTTAGAAAATACATAAAACGGGATTGACTGAAATTTTTTTTCGACCAAGGGACTTTAAAATATTAGGATTTTTCAATAATAGAATTAATAAATTTTGCAACGCAAAAAGAACTTCGAACTCAAGCTGAACAATAGGATTGTCTCAGTGGCGCGGCGTGAATTGTGATGTATCGATTGTTCTGTCATTTAACCCTATGGTAAAGAATCGATTATTATGGCGTCCGCTGCGAACACCATGTTAATCGATCCTTTTCCATAGGTTTCATTGACAGATCAATCGATATATCGCAAAGGACGCCACGCCACTGGATTGTCTCATCGTAAGGTTTCGTTGAGGCTACGTTTGAACCAAATCCCTCGGGTCACCCAAAAAGAGGCACACATTTTTTACGATGGCAATTTTTTTTTTATCATTCTTTCTCTTTTGTCTCGATTTTCCAAGGGTGCTTCCAAGGGTTGGTTGAATACTTTTCCCGTTAAAACAAGGGGTTGTTTGGAGAAGTAGAGAAAAAAGAAGTCAAAACGTGACCAGGAATATATTCCCATGAATGAGAGTCTACGTGTTCAAGGGTGACAGATTCCAACAACGTGCTTGGGCTGA